GGAGAAGCTGCTCAAAACATATAAATATTTTGTCTGGTGAACAAGTCTGTATTAACTAGCTGGAATATACAAAGCAGTGTGCCACATATGTGGGGGTGTAGAAAGCAATCAAAGGAGGGCAGAGCTCTGCAAGAATCTAGCTGGAGAGGCAACTGCTACATGGATGAAAAGTTAGCCTCCAACACAGGACGTTTGAGCTGTGGAACCACAAAAGATGCATCTCAGGGTGCAAAGCAGGTGAGAGATTAAGAGGACACGCCCCTCCCTGGCTCTAAAAGCTCCCTCACTTCATTGTCCCAGCCCACTTCCACACGTGCTTATGTTTCACCACCAACCGAGCTACTGACTTTCTTCCTGACACTCCCACACTTGTCTGGTTCTCTGCTGTGCCACGCTCATCTCATTGCCCCTATTTTGTTGGTTTTCACTCTATCCCTTCTTCAAGGCCATCTCTTCGTGTGGACCTCCTGCATCCTCCCAAATGGATGTTTTCTCGCTCTCTCCTTTGATACCACCCTCCCCACCACCACTGAAAAATTTAGCTGTGTCCCTTTGAGGACCCCTGTCCTGTGCTGCTGACTCTTTGCCATATTATAAGTCCTCTAAGGTCTGAGATACTCTTGGTTATTGTCGCAAAGCCTACAACTTTTAGTACAGTACTGGGCATATGGATGGTACCCAAAAGACATCTGCTGGACTGGACAGCAAAGAGCTATATAGGCACAGCTGAAAATGGTGGCAAATAAAGATGCCCTACACCAGCCAGTCTACCCTGGAGGAGTTATGAGAACCACTGGACCCTGGTCATGCCTCCAGGATAAGCTTTTGAGATTATTTGTAAGGGAAAATGTACACATTGTATTTAGTGTTAATTTGTTAAAAGCAAGCATTTGAAATAGACTGTGAGAGAGAGAACAGATGAGTTCTAGGGGGAGGGATGAATAGGGAGTGACTGCTAAAGGGTATGAGGTTTTATTTGGAGCTGATGGAAATGTTATGAAATTAGATTGCAGCTATCATTGCACAACCTTGTGACTATACTAAAAACCACTGAACTATACACTTTAAAATAGTGAGTTTATGTTTTAACTTTAAAAATTGATCACATTGCGTTTCAATTTAGAGAGTTCCTTCCCTCCATTTAACACAGGTTGTCTTACTCTAAAATGTTCCATTTCCTGTTAGTCAAGAAAACAAAAATATCTTCAAGGTAAAATGAATTCATCAATGACCAGAAATGGAATTTGAAAGACTGCCTATAATCACTTAATAAAGTTTACAAAAAGCTATAATATTAAGAACCCTATTTTAATGTTTCTTTTTCTTTCCAACATGCAGAGTGTGTCAAAAAAAAAAAAAAAATAGCACAAGACTTGGCCTCCTTTGAACACACATCATCAGTGGAAAGGAAGATCACATTGTCTCTGGATTTCTGGAAAGTCATTCTTCATTAAAGAAGGCAATGCTTGCTTGCTCCTGCCTCCTTCCAGCCCAGCCCTGCAGGTTCCTACCTGTCTGGCCAGCGATGACCATGGGCTGCACGGACAGCTGGAAGAGCTTGTCCAGCACCAGGTGCAGGAAGAGCACGAGCGGCTCCAGGCGGGAGGAGTTCAGGCAGATGATGCTGAGCTTCAGCTCGTGCTCCAGCGCCATCTCGCTGATCTTCTGATCCAGCACGCGGATGGGGAAGGTCACCTGGCTCTCCAGGGAGTGGCAGAGGGTGAAGAACTTCTCCAGGTGGTTGTCCTGGGAAGGGAGAAGGCAGGTCATGGGGTTTTATATCATCATTGTTCACCAGTGGATTCATAAACACAATTGAATAGCTCTTTATGGATAGAACCTCTTATCCAGTGTTTCAGACCAGAAGGCCTAAGACATGATGTTTCAGACTGAGGTTATGAACTTCTTTGTAGAATGTGGTGCACAAAATTGAACCTTTCAATAATTATTAGCGAAGAACAAATAATTTAGGCTCTGACATGTTCTGTAAGCAGAGGTCAGCATACCAGGTAAAGCATACTGCCAAGAGAGGGGTCTCAGCAGATGCAGAACTCAGACAGTGGCAGGTGATGGGGGGAGTACGGAATTTCTTTTCAAAGGCTGGTAAAGTGGCAGAATTACGGAGGGAAAAGAGGTAACAGCAGATGAGAGCTTCAAATCAAGTGTCCCTGCAAAGTTTCTCAACCACCATTGCAGATACAAGGTTCTTTCCTTTAGGTACTCAGCGGTTTTGTAAGGTCTTTCTATTCCAACGACAAATGAAACCTAAAGAGGTTTGCATGTCCCCACAAAGAACTAAAGGATTACTTTTTATTTATCTGTAGACAAGGATTTTCATTGATCTTTTATTGGCCTGTCCTTCAAAGGTTCCTCTGCTGCACCTTTACCTTCCTTATTAACATTGACATTCCTTACCTGGGTGTGCACAGAAGAAACAGCTTGCACTTCAATATTAAATACTCCCTTATGTCCTTCAGCCCACTTAATGGGAGGATTCTGTAAAGGGACTTTCTGTGTTAAAGAAGAAGAAGAAGAA